TGTCCTGCACGAGTCCTGCTGCAGACCTGGTGCTGTGACAGTGCTCCCCGTGAGTCCAGCAGGGGGCCAGGAGCCCACGACAATGCCTCATGCAGGCCTGCTTCAAGGATCTGCACTGCAAGGGCCCAAAGGGCAGTGGCGGGGCTAGAAAGCCTGCACCAGTGTAATGAAGGCTCTGTGCCAGCAGGCTGAAGGCTCTGTACTAGAGCCAGGAGGCAACGTACAGAGCAAGCACCAGCGCTCCCTGCGAAAAGCACCGCAGCCGCCCTCAGTGGCAGTGAGGTCCCAAGCTCCTCCTCTGATGAGAACAGCTAATCCATGCCAGGAAAGCCAGTGTGACGAGCTTCTCCAGAACATGGAACAGTGCACCACCTTCCCTTCTGGAACCAGAAAGTGATGCTCAGAGTGAGGCCCGCAGCTCCCGCAAAGTGAACTGCAGCCACTCACAGTGACAACGAGGTCCTGAACTCCTTCAAAGATGAGAACAGCAAAGCCAGCATGACAAGCTCCTGCAGGAGCAGGACACAACTCCAAGAAATCAGCTCCCTGACAGTCCCCCGCACCCCCTTCTTCAGTTCTTCTTTTTATGTGGTTGGCAGCAATCCCCAGGTGGGGCACCCACATCCAGCACCAACCACGCTGGTCCAGATCAGCTGGGTGTTAAAAGTTGATCACCAGTTGTCAGTCCACCCCAACTCTCCTTTTGAAAGAGCCTGTATTGATGCCTAAGAATTAGGGTGATTGTTCAGCTGCGACTGACTGAGTCGGGCTTTGCGTGTGATTCTGCCTGGCTCCAGCGCTTTTGCTTGGAAGTGCTAGTTACCCTCCTTGGCGTTGCTGCTTTCGGAGCCTTCTTTCCTTGCCTTTGCTTTCCTGCAGACTCGGAAACCTTGCGAGCTTTGCCTGACCTTTCTGCCCATCTCTCTAGCCCAGGAAGCATCTGTGTTTAAAAAATATAGTGTGAAAAGCAGGACAGGGGCTCTCAGCATTTGGTATGTATTCTCTTTCAGAAATCGAAATGGCTCGGCCTAATGGCAGGAGAAAGACAGAGCACCTTTGGAGCTATGGACCTCGGGGGGGCTTCTACACAGATCACGTTTGCACCTGAAAGCCACACTGCTGAGTCCCCAGATAACTTTATAAATTTTCGCCTTTATGGTAAGGACTACAGCGTGTATACACACAGCTTCTTGTGCTATGGGAAGGATGAAGCGCTCCAGCAGAAACTGGCCAAGGACATTGAGGCGAGTATAAATGGATTCAGACCTACGCTCCTCACATCTGGTCCTCCAGCCCCCACATCCTGTTATTTTCTCTTTCTAACTCAATAATTGGTCTGAAGTTGGTTTTATACTTTCCAAACCTTTTTGAGGCAGGATACAAAACTACATCTGGTCGACCCCTATAAATTGTTCCACCCAGACATCCCCTCCTGTGTTTGTTTGCTGCGCTGTCTCCAAGGACACAACTCAGATCTTTTCTCAGGAATTAATTTCTCACCAGTGTGGGTAATGAAAGTTGCATGCTAGAGTTTGTTCAAGAGGAAATGTCTTTCTAGACTACTTTTTAAATTTCCTTTTCTACAAACTATAGCAAGCAAGGTTGTTAGTAATGACCTGGAGAGAAAAAGGAAAAAACATACTTCAGAGAAAATGCATTTATCAATCAACTATTTAGATTTTGTTCCTAGATTGTTTCTGCATTTAAAAAAGACAAGCTAAACACTGGGCATCATGGGAGTTCCAGGCACACCCTCAGAAATAAACACAGAGTGAGGCTGTCATCTCCAGCTGTTTTGCCTCCACTAAGAGGACAAGTAGTTCTCTGCTCCCCCATGACTCTCTCCCTCTGGCTCTCAAAACTACTATCAGTGAGATGCACACCATGAAGGAGAGGCTGGAGAGGGAGATAGAGAGACACAGAGAAGTGAGAGAGGCCACCAAGACTCAAGGTTCCACTAAGCTTCTTATTCACTACCGCCTACTTTCTTCTTTTGGGGGCTAGAGATCAAAAACCACTTTGATGTTACTGGCTTAAAGGACCTAAGGTACCTTCTAATTCTTGGGGCTTCTGGTCCCCTCTGTAATGAGGAGGGAAAAGAGGGGTGTGCAGACCTTTAGACTACTTCCCGAGGTTCGCTGTGTGGAGAGCCTTGAGAGCCTTCTTTGTGACTCTGCTCCTGACCTCTGCCAATAGGAGTAAACACTCAGGCACATTCCTAACTAATGACATTTCTAGGCCCAACTTTTGATATATCAGCATTCTGTAAATATACTGGCACATTTCTGTCTGCACCACTTTTGGTACTTGTTACACAAATCTATTTTCTTACTTATTCCCAAAGACAAAAAAAGCAGAGCAAGAACGTGTTGATGCCATTCCTGGGGCCGGGCAGGCCACACACCCCTTACGCAGCCGTGAGGTCAGACTGCATCTTTTGTGCCCTAACCATTCATTCACACAAGAGTCTTTCAAAAGATTTTTCCACTTAGGTTTCAAGTAATGGAATCCTCAAGGACCCATGCTTTCACCTTGGTTATGCGAAGCTTGTGAATGTTAGTAAGCTTTACACGTCTCCCTGCGCAAAGAGATATGAAAAGACTCTGCCGTTTGATGAGTTTCAAATCCAGGGTACTGGAAACTACCAACAGTGCAGGCAAAGCGTCCTTGAGCTCTTCAATACCAGTTACTGCCCGTACAGCCAGTGTGCCTTCAACGGGATTTTCTTGCCACCAGTTAAAGGAAATTTTGGGGTAAGTCTGTGAAATGGTGAGGCATGTTAGGTAAGATAATTTCGGTTGCAAGGTATGCAATGCGTCTATTGAGGATTTAAGTAATAGGGTTCATTTTTCTCTCGCAGCTAGCTGCAGGCATCGTATCTTCACATGTAAAGGCACAGCAGGACTGGAGCCCAGAGGGCTCTCTTGCACGCCGCTTTCATTACGTAGAGGTGCCAATAGACACCTCAAGTCCCTGAGGGACGTACACCCCAGGACGATGGCAGACAGAATAACATGGGCTTGTTAGTTGGCTCCAAACCCAGATTCAGAACAAACTAGAGCCTCACTTGAATGCTGTGTGGTTGAACTGGCATTGGTTTTCTTTTCTTTCTTTCTTTTTTTTTTTTTTTTGGTTTTGGGGGCCAGAGCCCATCCTTTCCTTGAATTAAACTTTTAGAAAAGGAAGGAGGATACTATAAGAGAGAAACACATAGTTAGGGCTGCTTGAGATAGCCAAGACTTTTTCACTCTTGACAGTGCTGAGAAATAAGTCTGAGAGAAAGCGAGTATCTCCCATATGTTTACTTTTGAACTTCTTTGAAAGCTTTGCATTCTGGGAAACATGGATCAATTCCTGCCTTCAAATTTCAGCTAAGCTTTCTTCCTCAGGGGATAGAATTCCTTACCTTTGAATGCGATTCACCCAACAGAGAGACAGACACGAAGGGGCTGCAAAATAGCATTGGGGTCTTGAGCACCTCAGAGACCTTTCTTTCTTTCTTTCTTTCTTTCTTTCTTTCTTTCTTTCTTTCTTTCTTTCTTTTTTTCTTTTTTGGCGGAACCACGGATTGAACTCAGGCTTTGCGCTTGCCAGGGAAGCGCTTATTCCACTGAGCCATCTCCCCGGCCCCAAGACATTTCTATTTGGTTCCTGAGTCCCTCCTTACGGTGGTTCTCAGCGCCTTCTAAAGCTCAGCTCAGTGGCTCATTTAGCTTATTGATTTCCTCAGAACAGCACGTTTCTTTTCTGGATACATGCTCAAGGTCAGCACTACTCGTGTCTTGTCCTGCTTCGGCAGTTTTTCTGCTTCAAGACTTTTTATGTTCGCTCTATAATTCCTTCTATAAATTGGGGGTGGTGGTTATTACCTAAGATGTGTAACCAGAAGCAATGGTTAATTTTTTAAAATTAATTTTATTGAGAAACAAGTAGCAATGAGACAGTTTCAAAACTGATTAATAGGACAGTTTCAATAATTAATGCATTGCCTATTGTTGTCTTTGTAGTGATTATTCATAGTACAAGATGCAGACAAGATATCCTGTTAAAACACTGTTAGTACAAATCTTTCTTCTCATTGAATTAAGAGAAAGTAGCTGTATATCTATCCTATTTTGTATATACAGATACAAAATGGTCCTTCATTTGTATCCCCATTTTTTGTTTAGTTTTGTCAGAGATGGGTATTCCATTGCCATTTAAATATCATAGGTGTGTGAATTCAGTAAAATATTCCAATATACTCTAGTAGTTCACAATAGTAGTGGGTTATCCATGGGGTTGCCAATGTCAGAAATTGTTGACTTGAGCCCTTTACAGCTCAGCATATTAAGATGGCTTTACTTTTCATACCGCGTTATTATACTTTTCTGCTGGATGGTTAAGACCAAGATAAAGCAAGATCTATGTAACAAGAAATGTAACTTTTGTATCTGACAAGGTCAGTCAAATTCCCTCAGGAGTTATCCTGAAATCCTGTACTGCAGTTTGTAGATCCTTTGGAAGTGTCAGCCATGTGGATGAGTCACAGCCATTGCTTGACCATTTTGCTCTCTGTGAAAGCCTAAGAGAATGTTTTCTCTCCATGTGACTCTCCTTAGGCACACTATACATCATTGACCACTTTCCTCTGTGGCCCCATAATCTCCTTGATCAGAAAATTTGGGACATCACTGAGTTACAGGATGTTACAGTACAGATTCTCTTATGTCCTGAGTCCTCACTGACCTTGAAAGGCTAGGGCCAAAATGTTGGCTGTCCTTGTAGCTCTTCTTTTGCTCTAATTTTTGGTCTGCAAACTTAAGTTGTTAACCCTCCAGAAGAGAAGCTTAATGTTATTACCCTATAACATAGGCAGTTGAGCTTAACCTCACTATCTGTCTGAATATCAAACATCTTAGACATAGCATGGAATAAGTATATTCCAATAAGTATTGATATGTTAAACTTTAAATCCCTACAGAATGTGAAGAAAAAAAGAATAAATACAAATATTTTTAAAAATTACATATTTTTACACAGAAATTGAGAACTCTAACCATATGCAGCACTGTAGCAGGACATTCCTATGACATTTTTTTTCTTGTCTCTTGTTTTCATTTATTACCTTTTTTAAAAAGACAAACATTTACTTGATAGATAGTATAGCAGTAATTGATATGACATGACAAGCAGTATGTATTTAAAAGACTAGAATGACAGGCATTCTGAGCATGACCCTTGTATTACACATTGCTGTTCAGTGCAGTTGCTTAGTTCACGCAATGGTTAATGTTTACATTTTTAAAAATTCTAGGACTGCTGAGATAGTTCAACAAACTAAGTGCCTGCTTTGGCAAGTGCAGGGAATAGGGTTCCATCCCCGGTCCCTCATGCTGCGCCAACCCACCCTGGTGGCACACTGAGTCAGTGACTGAGTCCGGGTGTAGGGGCACATACCTGTAATCCTAGCACTGAGGAGGCTGAAAACAGGAGGATCACTAGGAGTCTGAGCTGCGTAGTGAGACTCTAGACCAAATACATTTTTTCTTTTCTTTTCTTTTCTTTTCTTTTCTTTTCTTTTCTTTTCTTTTCTTTTCTTTCTTTCTTTCTTTCTTTCTTTCTTTCTTTTTTGGCGGAACCAGGGACTGAACTCAGGCCCTTGTGCTTGCCAAGGAAGCGCTTATTTTACTGAGCCATCTCCCTGGCCCCCCCAATACATTTTTTTAAAAACTATCAATTTTTAAAAAATTTTACAATAAAAAAGATGTTACTAATCATCCTCAAAATGTTCCCCTTTTTTTGAACTCACTTACCCATCATTGTTGCCACTTTCTCAAACAGTTTTGAAAGTTTTCTTTGTGAATGTCTTTAGTTGCACTGTCATGGCTACCTTGATAGCATGAAATAGCTTTAAAAATTTACCTTTCAAGGTCACTCTAATTTTGAGGACGAGCTGGAAGTCACATTTGGCTACATCTAGTGATCATGATGGATGAAGACACACTGTGATGGTTTGTTAGTCTGGTTTGAGACAGGGTCTTGCTATGTATTCAGGCTGGCTTTGAACCCATAATGTAGCCCAGGCTGGCCCAGCCCTCCTGCCTCAGCCTCCCAATTCCTGGAATTATAGGCATGTACCACCCTGCCCAGCTGTAATGTTTTTATTTTAGAGACAATTTCCCTCAATGTTTAAATTTATAAAAATGTCATAGTAAAAGACATAGCCACTAATTCCCCTCAAAATGTCTTAAATATCTTCCCTTACTTTGAAAACATGTATCCCATCATTCCTGCCAAGGTGTCTTTGACAGTACTAAGATTTAAATTTTTTAAAACACTGAACTTATTTTTTATCACACTTTTACAATAGGGGGATGTGGGCCGCAGAGATGGCTCAGTGGAATAAGCGCTTCCCTGTCAAGCACAAGGGCCTGAGTTCAATCCTCGGTTCTGAAAATAATAATAATAATAATAATAATAATAATAATGGGATGGTAATATTATTTTATACACATCAGACAGAGACCTGACTGATAAATATCTAACCACAAGTTCTCAGTAGATGGGGGCTGATTGGTGGCATTTGCCAGTTTCAGGGCTCATATCGTGCCCACCCGTGCTTGGTCCAGGCCACCAACATCACAGCAACCAGGCAACAAAAAAATCCTGAACTGTAACAGTCGGCACTTGTGGATGTGCAAGTCCAGGCCCTGCCCACCGTGGCGAAGAGGAAAAGCTAACATGTCCTAGCCCCAGACGAGCCCCTCGGAGGTTTCTTTCTTTCTCCTGTCAGTCTGAAGTCTACATTGCCACTGCTCTGGGAAGTTCTCATTCCAAACGTCTCAGACTTGAAGCAGAGCTATTTGCCACAGCAGCAGCAACAAAAATGCATTTGCATTTCTATTCTTTCCACAACCAGGAACACTGGGTGTTCTCAAGCCACAGAGAACCCACGTGGAGGAAGGAGTTTTTGCTACAGCTGCATTTGACCCTGATGAGTTTGTTCTAACTCTGTCAATATAGTGCTAACAACCGTCAAGATTCTGGTCAGCCTAGCTGCCTTGTGGCTTTGGTTACTAACTTGAACCCCGTGCTGTAAGCAAAGTAGAAACACCAACGAGGAAGAGAGGATGTCTGTTAGGAATTCCTTACAAAATAATTTAGGAATTGTATTCTTTAAGATCACACCATGCCGTTTATGTAAGCAAGAAAGTAGAAGCAGATTCTGCAGAAAACTAGAACTAAAGAGAAAACATTTAAAATGTGTTTGTTCACACATATGTATAGTTGACCACAGAGGTTGGGGTGTTGGTTCCACGGGAGCAGTTGAAAAGAATAACTTTACAAAAATTTATTTAAAAGCTTTATTAACAAGCCACTTGGAATTACTTTTTGAAAACAAGCTATAAGCTTGGAGGGCGCTGGTCAGTGGTGTCAGAAGGCAGACTGGAGAACTCCTGGATCTGAGCCAGTAGTCCCTCAGGAACTGGCTTGAACCCATTCTGGCAGAAGAACAGCTGCTCTGAGTCCCCACAGCCCGCCCGTCCGTACAGTCAGGATGATTTGTTTTCCTTTAAAGGACTCATTACAGCTACATGAAGACTCAGTGACATGACCTTGTAATCTATGATTCTGAGCAATTTTTTTCCTGGTGTATTAAATTTTTTTGGTCATTCAGTATAATTCTTGCAATTAAAATGAAAACATTCTAAATAGGTTCAAGGGGCTTGGGAGATAGCACTGAGGTCTAAGTGTCTGCCTGGCAAACTCAAGGACCCGAGTTTGATCCCCAGTAATGGCATGCTGTGCTGGTTCTGAAATCCCGGGCACACTGTCCCAGACGCCAAAATGGCTCGGTGGTGCACGCCCGTAATCCCAGCACTGGGGAGGCTGACATAGGAGGATCACCACAAGTCTGAACTGCATAGTGAGACCCTGTATCAAATAAATAAATAAATAAATTTTAAGAATAGGTTAAGATTATTTTTTCATTATACAATGTATATAAATCAACGAAAAAAACCCCTAAACACTACCATCCTATCCCATCAACAACTTAAATTTTGTCAGTTGAATTCTAATCCATGTTTGTATAAGGAATGATCCATTATAGAAGAGAATTTCCTATGGATTTAAGGGGCCATGTTAGATATTAATCCAATGTCTGGTGAATATTTGAAAAACATATAAGGGAAAGCTACCACGCAAGCCATGACACACGAAGGCGTCCACAAAAGTGACAAGTGGATGGAGTGAAAAAGGAAAAAGCAAAGAAAGAAAGAATGAGAATGAATTAGTACCTGAGTAAGACAAGAGAAATACGTGACTTTATTCTGGAGCACAATTGTCTAAGAAAAATAAAAACCATATACACAGCTCACCTAGCAAAATTTGCTTTAGATTTTAATTGTAAGATGTGATATATGCTGTGGCTACAAAGAAATGGTCTATTTTTACACGTTTATTTTTGGGAGAATATAAAAGTATGGTCCTTATCATACTTATTTCCAAAATATTGACAGTAGAAGAAATTAAGACATTTCTTTAGATTTGATTCAGATCTTTGTAATAGCAGACTAAATTTATAATATTGTCTATTCCTATAGAATGGCATTGTTATATGATTGCATATTACATATTCAACTCTATTTTAAGAAAGAATTCTAAATCATAAGCTGTTAACCAAGGCAAAAACTAGAAGCAAATTATTGAGGCTTTCTAAACCAGTCATTTTACTTCTCCTTTTCATGCATGTGATAAAACATGAGATTCCTCATTTTAACTCTTTTGAAGTGTGCAGCTCTGCAGCACTTCCTGCTTACCTGTTGCTGCAGTCCACTCTACTGTCCACCTGTGTACCGCTGTCATCTTCTTAAACTGATAGTCTGCAGTCACCAAAGAAAACATCAGCTCCCCTCTTTCTGTGTCCCTCAGCCACTGGTGCTGCTGCCATTCTGCTTTCTGAATGCATTTGGCTATTTCAGATGCCATCCTATAAGTGAACTCATACAATAGCTGTTCTTTTTTTGGTTTGTATTTTAGGGAAGAGTCTACAGGGTGTTCAGGGTCTCACTACTAGATCGGACTTGTAGTGATCTGCCTGTTTACAGCCTCCCAAGAGCTGGGATTACAGGCACACACCACCATGCCCAGTCTCAATTGTCATCTTAGCATGCTCTGGGGACGGGTCCGGGCAGCCCCGGGGATCAAACCCCTGGGCCCTGCACCTGCTTGCAGGCGCTTTAATCTGCTGAGCTATTTGGCCAGCCCTAATAGCTGTACTTTTATCTCACTTAGCAGAATGTTTTCTGTAGAGTAGTCATTCTCAACTGCAAAAAATAACAAGTTTCTCTTGAGACTCTGATGAAAGCTAAAGATCTTCCAAGCAGAAAAATGGGTATGGAGAGGTAGGTCAAAGCTTTTGAATTCAGTTTTAAAGACTTCAGTTTAAAAGTGGACCTATAATTCCCAGAGTAAGAGCCCTTAACATTAGACTAAAAAAAAATATAGAACATAGAGATGAAAGTCAAAGCATGATCCCAAACTGAACACTCGTTGGACATGAATGTTCCCATTGGTGTCAGTGACTGCAAAAATATAGAACTATGGCGCTAGAAGCAGACACGTGCCGGAGGCCGATGACCTAAGATGGAAACTGCCCGCCCGTGTCTCTAAAGCGCTTCCTGCCGAGGCAGAGCCAGCCTAATACCTACTAATGGAAGCACACAAGTTGTAAGAGAAGCAAGTTAGAATGAGTAACTAAGCGTGAGGGAGGGGCAAGCCAAGCAGTTGGCCTAGGGCAGGATTGTTATATAAAACTGTAATAGCCACACTATTCCAGAGCCTGAGGCGGAGTGCACCCTGGGAAACAAAGTGAGGCCCTGAGTCCAAATAATAATCAGGACCAGGTATGCAGCCGGGTGCTCCCTGGCTCCAGAACCACAAAACAGAGAACATACAGAACGTCTGCAACGCCTGTCTGTGTTTGCCTGTGACCACAAGTGCTGCATTTAACTTATATTTCAAATTACAGTTGATACAGTTTGATTGGACTTTTGGAGAATGATTTAACAAAACCTTTTTAACTTCATTATGAACAAATTTGATTTGGCCTTGAGTTAAGTTCCCAGGTGTTTCTTCTTCTTTCTTTCCTTGCCCACCCCCATGCTTTCTTGCCCCTTTTCTCTCTCTTTCCCCTCCCCCCCCCTCTTCTCCGTTCCCATCTGCTCCCCTCCCTTCTGGGGTTAGGCCCAGGGCCTTTGCACTAGGCTACATCCCCACCCCCTTTTTATTGTGGAGACAAGGTCTTGCTAAGCCACTGAGCAGCCCAGGCTGTTCTCAGACCTGTGGTCGTTCTGCCTCAGCGCTGCTTCCGGTGTGCCGGGCTCAGGCACGTGCCACCTCAGCCACGGATTTCTAGCTTTGTTCCTGGAAACCTGATCAAAGTGTTAGCTACATTACTAGAAAACTGGACTGAAAGCGGTGGAGAGATCACGCTAAAGAAGGAAACAACATTTCTTTTTTCTTTTTCTTTGTTTTGGGACAGGGTAGCCTCAAATTAATGTTGGCTTCAAATTAATCTGTGCCTCCTACCTTAGCCTCATGAAAGATGAGATTACAGGCACAAGGAAACAAAATTTCTTAAGAAAGATTAAGATGTATGCACTCTAGGTATAGGTTATGTATGTACACATAAAAATGACATTGGGCTTATTTTATGTAGAATTAAAGCATAATATTTGTTTGCTGCAGGAAATTGCTAGATAGAAGGCAGCTTTGCTGTTCTTAAGGCAAAAGTCAGCCCCCAAAGGGATCGGGTCAGCGTCCCTCTATGTTGGAAACAGCTACCTAAGCTGACGTTTTTCTCTTGCAGGCATTTTCAGCTTTCTACTTTGTGATGCAATTTTTAAACTTGACATCAACGAAAGTCATCTCTCAGGAAATGATGAGTGAGACAATGAGAAAGTATTGCTCTAGGCCTTGGCAGGAGGTAAGTGAAGAGGCACAGCACTTGCCCTGCGCCCTCAGGAGTACAGAAGACAGGAGTCTGCTCTTACCCTCGTGCTGGGCGACAGTGCTCTGAACGTGTCAGGGAAGCCCACGAGGCGGACTCACAACTGAGCTGATAATCTGGTGTACAGGGACTTGAACCAGATTGCATGTTTCTTACCTAAAATGAAGTCTGAAGAGACGCAGGTGTTGGAAAGAGGCCAGCAGCTCGCTTCTCTTTCAGCCATTGCTTCTTCAGTGAGGTTGTCCTACCTCTATCCTAATGGGCACAAGATGGCTACGGTGGCCAGGTGTGGTGGCACATAGCTGTAATCCCAAGTACTCAGGAGCTGAGGCTGGTGGACCGCAAGGTCAAAGCAAGCTTGGGCAACCTCATAAGTCTCTCTCAAAATTAAAAAAAAAAAATTTAAAAGGTGAGAGATACAGCTCAGATCTCCCTGGGTTCAGCCCCGGATCTGGGAAAAATAAAGATTTTTGTGGCTTCTGTGATGATCAAAACAAAGGCAGAGCCAGATACGTCTGTTTCTTTTCACAAGCAAAGAAGGGGCATCCTCAAAGTCCCTCTCAGTTTCCCCCAATTCAAATTTTACTGAATTTCATTTTATTCTTGACTGATTAATACACAATAACTGTACATTTTATTGGTATAATGTGACACTCCAACATATCATATCTGTCTGTATATACACATATATCACTGATTAAGTAGCCCCTCCCCCCTTCCATATTTGGGTCCCTTCTTCCATTCCTTCTGTATGTGCTTTCAGGGCACAATGCTTACATTCCCTCTGTGGAGCTGGTCCATGTACAGGACACCTCCCAATTCCTTTCTCTTTGTCCCCTATCCCTCTCCTCCGTCCTGTCTCTGGATCACTTTCCCTTTTGAAAAAGACCTATTTCTCTACTTCCTATATCTATCTTAAATTTTGCTCTTTGTTTTTACTCTGGGTCTCAATAAGAGAAGCCATGTGGTATTTAAGTTTGTGTGTCTGACTTATTTCACTTGACATTATGGTCTTAAGTGTGTCCATTTACCTGCAAATGACTCCGATTTATTTTTCTTTATGGCAGATCAGAATTCCATTGTATGTAAATACCACATTTTCTTTCTCCATTTATCTGTTGATGCATATATGGGGAGCTTCCAAGATTTAGACCTTATGGATTATACTGTTATAAACATGAATATATATATATAGATATAGATATATATCACATTACTGTAATATGATGTCTTTGACTCAGGAAAATACCTAGAAGAATAGCTGGGCCCAGTGGAATTTCTAATTTTAGATTTTTGAGGAATTTCCATGGTTATTTCCATAACAGTTGTGCTAGTTTACATTCCCAGCAGCAGTGTAGCGGCTCTCCAGCATTTCCCAGCAATCCCTTCAGCCTCTCCAGCATTTGTTATTACTTGGTTTCTTGATGATGGCTATACTTTCTGAGGAATCTCAATTTTTTTAAATTTTTATTTATTTATTTGGTACAGGGTCTTGCTACGCAGCTCAGACTCATAGTGATCCTCCTGTCTTAGCCTCCCCAGCCCTGGGATTATAGGCATGTGCCACCATGCCCAGTTTTGGGGCCAGCTCAGCATGCAGTAGTGGGGATTGAACCTGGGGCCTTGTGTTTGCCAGGCAGGTGCTTAGACCATGGAGCTATCTTCCCAGCCCTCAGTATTGTTTTAATTTGCATTTCTATAATGGCCAGCAGTGACGAGCATTTCTTCACACAATTTGTCTACCATTTATACGTTTTTTTCTGTGAAGCTTCTATTCATTTTGCTTAACAATTTTTTGATTGGATCTTTTATTTTAAGGGTCCAATTTTTTTTGAATTCTCTACATATTCTAGATATGAGTCCTAAAACTGAAGAATTGCTGGCAAATTTTTTTCCATTCCATATGTTGTCTTTTCACTTGGTTGTTGCTTTTGTTGTGCAGAGGCCTTTTAATTTCATATAATCTCATTTGCTCATTCTCAGAACTTCTTCCTGAGAAGCTGGGGTTCTGTTCTGAAATTTTATCGTATATGTTTCTGATCCATAGTAATTAATCGTGGGAGCCTGGTACACATAATCCTGCATCTTGGTCCTTTGCGGTCCCCCTTCTCCCCTTCCTTCCCTTCTCCCCAGATTGCCTTCCCTTCTCCCCAGACTCTGCCTCCCTGTTTCTTACCACCTTTTATCACTTCAGTGCTGCACGCACACTAATGTTTGCAGCGGCACGATGATACCAGCTGAGCCCTGGGAGCTGGCTACGTGTGGGGCGCACACCGTGGGGCGCGGCTCTGCCATACCGAGGGATAAACTGGAGCCGTCTGTGGGAAATGGATACACCCGGAGGCCATAACGTGAAGTGAAATAGTTCTGACACACAAGCATAAATATCACATGGTTTCTCTTGTATGAGAAAGCTGAAGTATAAAGAATGTAAAGAAAAAAAATAGCTGGGGAGATGGCTCAGCTGCGTAAGTGCCTGCCGGGCAAGTGCAGGGTTCTGAGTTTGATTCCCCAGTACCTCAAAAAAAAAAGAAGAAGAAGGAGAAGGAGAAGGAGAAGGAGAAACATATGGGATGATATTTAAATGACAACAAAAATGTTCATGGCTAAAATACATGTAACTTGGCCCAGGCCTGTTTATGCACACCTATAATCCCAACAGTGGGAGGCTGAGGCAGGAAGATTGCTCCAGATTAAAAGCCAGCTTGGGCAACATACCGAATTCAAGGCCAGTCTGAAGTTTGTACTGAGGTCTTGTCTCAATCAATCAATCATCGATCAGATGTAACTTCAAGCAAGTGATTAGAGTTGAGAATAGCCATTCCTTTAATTCCACAAAAATGCTACTTTTTTGTTGTTGTTTTGTTTTTTGATTTTTCTGTATTTGGTACAGGGTCTCACTGCACAGCTTGGACTCAGAGTGATCCTCCTATTTGCAGCCTCCCCAGCACTGGGATTATGGCTGTGCGCCACCATGCCCAGTCTCAGTGGCTGGCTCAGTGCATCCAGGGGCAGGGCTGGCCTGACGTGGTGCCTGGGATCAAACCCTGGTCCTGCGCTTGTCTGAGCTATCTCGCCGGCCCAATGCTACTATTTTTATAGACTGATTTTTTTTTTTTTTTTGCAGAACCAGGGATTGAACTCAGGCCCCTGCGCTTGCCAGGGAAGCGCTTATTCTACTGAGCCATCTCCCGGCCCCTATAGACTGATTTTTATATGCTTTAACTTTACCTGATTTATGAGTTTAAACAACTTTTTGATGGGATGTTTAGTTATTTATGCATAAAATCATGATGTTTGCAAACACAGATAATTTGACTTCTTCCTATTCTATTTGGGTGCTCTTTGTTTTTTTCTCTTGCCTAACTGTTCTTGCTATGACTCCTGGTGATATATTGAAGAATAGCAGTGAAAGTTGACACTCTTTTTCACTGTGAGCAATTCCCAGTAGGGGAAAACAAAACAAAAAAATGTTTACGGAACTGTGTTTCTCAAACTACTGTACAAACAAATCACCTGGGAATCAGAGTAAAATGCAAATTATGAGTTGGTAGTTCTGGAGCCAAACAAGAATCATAAACCTCCCAGAAGATATTGATGCTGTCAGTCCAGGGACTAATTTTGAACATTATTCTCTTAATATGCTTGAGGCTCTGAGCTGAAGTCTGGTCAAGAACATATGGGAATCTCTGATTAAGGAAATATTAATAGATCCTTTCATGCAATATTTTGCACAACTCTTACTATGTTAGTGATTGTGGAGCACAAAATTTAGGAGATGAGAAGAGATACTAAAATTAGGGCCAGCCAGATAGCTCAGTGGACTAAAGCACCTGCTTAGGCAGGCACAGGGACTAGGGTTCGATCCTCGAGGTGCTGTGCGGGCCCTGCCCCCCGGGTGTGCTGAGAGGGCAATTGAGACTGGGCGTGGTGGCGCACACCTGTAATCCGAGCACTTGGGAGGCTGAAAAACTATAAGTCTGATCTGTGTAGTGAGACCCTTAGACCCTGTACTAAAATACAAAAACAAACAAACAAATAAATAAAATAAGCTGCTTCTTAACGTGGTAGACCAGTGGTGGTGAAGCTAAGGCACATGTGCCACAGTGGGCTGTTTGAATCACTGAGAGCTCTGAAAGGTTCGCCATCACTGTCCTCGACAATAGGAACTCTGCCTGCCACCTGAATACCTGTCAGTATCACAGAGAAAACTTGGGGGAAATCCTTCCTCAGGAGACACTGAAGTCCCCCAGCACCCACGGGCAAGCGCTGTCCCATTCACAGAGCCTGTGGGAAAGTTGGGCTTCAGTTTCACATGAGTCGAGGCTCTGTCCTGTCTTTAATCAGGTCTAATAGTGAAAAAGAGAGTGATTTCTATGACAAAATGCCAAAGAGAATCAACTTCAAGGAGGAAGGATTTATCTTGGCCCACAGTTCCAGCTGATGGCTGCTTGACCCAGCAGCTTTTGGACCTGTGGTGAAGACATCAGTCATGGTGGAAATACGCCATGAGGAATCCTGCTCTCCCTGTGGCAGCCAGGACGTGAAGAGGACCAAAAAAGGACTGGGGACAGGATATGGCCTTCAGGAGCACACTCCAAAGCTCCTCCTGCCTCCAACTAGGCCTCACCTCCTAAAGGTTCTGTTACCTCCTGATAATGTCATCAGATGACAACCAAACTGATGCGTGGCTGTGGTGGGTGCTGCAAGTCTAAGCCACAGCAACTCTCAAGTGTGACTTTCCTGCAAGCGTGATAGTCCTTTTGCTTTATTCTAGGTAAGGACATCTTTTCCTGAAGTGCACGAGAAGTTCCTCAGTGAATACTGCTTTGCGGGTACCTACATCCTCTCCCTCCTCCTGCAAGGCTATCATTTTACAGACAGTTCCTTTAAGGACATTGAATTTATGCGCGAGGTAATTTGGGTAACCGGCTGGTTGTGGGAAAGTTGGGTGATGGTGACTAAAATGGTGCCTTGGGAAAGCCGAGAGTCAAGTTTTGGCCCGTTCTGCTCTACCATTCAGCCCCTTCTGGGATGTCAATTAGGTATGGGTCCTTCTCTAAGGAGAGCTGCCTGAATTCTCAGAAGCACCTTTCTGCCCGCAGAATAGAGAGGAATTTTTATAAAACAAGAACAAAAACATGAAATTAAAGTAGGATAACAGATTTTAGTAACCACAGTGGTTTTGTATGCTGACTCAGAATCGCTCCCCAAAGTCCCTACTCCATGCCAGAAAAGGACGATTGATCATAGTTTCTTGTAAGTAGCAGAGGCTTTTTCAGTTGTTGCCAACAAAGGTTGACAAACCTGTAAGCCCGTGGAGAGAAAAGCACCGAGTGGCTGTAAGTGGGCTCATTGCTGCGAAGCCAGGCTTAGTGTGAGTGCTGCCGACGCAGCTCAGGGCTGTGCTTCACCATAGCGCCACCTGCAGGTGCTCCTCGGCTGTGGCACCCCTTGAAGACTAGTAAGAGCAGTGTGTCTTGGTGTTTTTAAACGCATGCCCACTAATGGTAAAATGACTTCAGCCTTTTAAGAATAAAGCAAGTATGGGAGCCGTGGAGATGGCTCAGTGGAATAAGCGCTTGCCTGGCAAGCGCAAGGGCCTGCGTTCAATCCCTGCTTCCGGGGGAAAAAAAAAAAGCAAATATGGAAGAAACAGATGGGTTTGTGCAATATTTTCAGTGATAGTTTTTCTTTCTTTCTTTCTTTCTTTCTTTCTTTCTTTCTTTCTTTCTTTCTTTCTTTCTTTCTTTCGCGGAACTGGGGATTGAACTCAGGCCCTTGAGCTTGCCAGGGAAGCACTTATTCTACTGAGCCGTCTCCCCAGCCCCAGTGATTGCTTTTCTTACTCTTGTGTTTTCTACTTATCCGTGGTGTTTATATCAGATATTACAGTCAGAATTTCTGTTGTCTAGATTGTCAGGATTGGTAACTGAACTTCCATCTTGAATTTGGTCTTTTTTATTACAAGAGTTCTTTTACAGAAGTTTGGTAACTTTGAAGGAACCAACATAGACCAGAACGCTTTGGGGGCACTTTGCATTCTCTGACTTTGTTCTCTGTATATTCTGTTAAGCGCCATCAGTTTTGGCTTTTTCTACACTAAATGAAGTTATGGTGCAGCTGTGAAAAAAATGTAGTGATCTCAAGAAAGAAAGGCACCAAAGCAGAGGGTGTGGCAGCCCCAAAAATCCAGTGCACCCTTTTTGTTGCTAACTTGCTAAAATTCAAATTTTTATCTTTTTCTTGTTTGGATCTTCCAGACTTCCTCCAACAAAGTGTATTTTGTAAGATTTTGAAGGATCTATGAGAAAGTTATGAGTGACATCCAGGGAAGTCCTATTTTCTATTTTCTATTTTTTTTTTTTTTTTTAATGTATTTGGTTGTTGCAGGATCTCACTATGCAGCTCAGACTCGTGATCCTCTGTTTTCAGCCTCCCAGCTCTGGGATTACAGGCATGCACCACCACGCCTGGACTCTGGCCGGCTCAGCCTGCCCTGGGGACGGGGCAGGCATGGCATGTGGTGCCAGGGATCGAACCACGGTCGCTGCGCTTTGCCTAAGCTTGCCTAAGCGGCACTCTAGTTCACTGAGCTGTCTTGCTGGCCCTCTGTTTTGTTGTCTTTAACTCCAGTGCATGATCCAGTATTCCTAAGCCTTCCTTAGCACGCGCAGTCAGAGGAGGTTTCCATCCCCTCACAGTCAAAAGTGAACCTTTTAAAAATCTGATTAAGTTTATTGGTACAACTTAGGCACACATAATGAGCACATTTGTCCTTTTACAAGTTACTACCTCATGATGTTGATGAGTTTGGCCTCAGAGGAAACTTCAATATAATATTGGTTAGAGCATGAAGTGGTATATAACATGTTGGGGAATTAGTTTTTTGGTTTTTTTTTTTTTTTTTTTTTTTTTTTGGTGGTGCCGGGGATCAAACTCAGGACCTTGTACTTGCCGGGCAAGCACTTATTCCATTGAGCTACCTCCCCGGCCCTGGGAATTAGTTTTGACAATATGCACTGAGACTTAAAATGTGCACATCACTTTGTCTACTTACTCCATTTCTAGGATAAAATAACTGGGTGATAGTAAGTAAAAGCGAATGTGTGAGGCTCGTGCCAGTGATGGTGCCGTGGAATTGATGGAGAAGTATCTGAAGAGACTTGGAATGATGCTCACAAGTGATTTTTAGATAAATTATTTTATAGAAGTGTCATTCCACTTTTTTTTTTTTTTAAAATAGCATTCAGAGAGAACTGGAATAATAGGCCACAAAATGAAAACAGCAGCAATTTCTGGGTGGTTAAGTATGGATGGTTTTGATTTTTTTTAGGCTTATCTGTATCTCCTTTTTCTACCATGAATATGGGTAATTTGTGTAATAAAAACATTTCATGTTATTCAAAGACCATCCATATTCCAGGTGAATGGAAAGTATTCCTAGGAAGATGGGAAGATCAGAGCATGTTTTTACTATTTAATAAGAAACTTTTCTTGTGTGCATAGTCTTCCAACTTCTATAAAATAAGATTGGCTTGCTAAGATTAACTCCAGGTTTTGCATTTTATATGGATAAATTTCCTGCCTTATCAGGTTATTAAAGGCCCACAACTATCATTCCCATAGCTTTTTCTCTGTTTCCTGTCATCTCCCCTCATCTATCTTCTCACCTCCCTCATTTATATGACCAAGAATATAAGAATGTGATGCTCTAATGGTTTATTTGAGTTAAGATTTTCTAGCCAGGAAAACTGAGTGATTATTCACCAAATTCCTTTCTGAACTTTTAGGAATATAGTAGTGAAGTTCCAAACTCTCTTTTAATCTCTTGCTGCCATTTTCTCCATAACCAAATTCTCAGAATAGAATATAAAATTAATCAATTTAGATAAAAGCACAGGGTGCCCTCCATTTACTGGTTGCTCAGTGTTATAGTGAAGTTGCACGAAAGCTGTAGTTTATCTCCTTGGACCACAAATAACAGATTTTTCCCTCAATCTCTGCAGATCGAGGGCAACAGCGCTGGATGGACCTTGGGCTACATGCTGAACCTGACCAACATGATCCCAGCTGAGCAGCCAGTGACTGCCCCTCTCTCCCACTCCACCTATGTCTTCCTCATGGTCCTCTTCTCCCTAATACTGGCTGTAGCGCTCATCATAGGCTTGGTTGTGTTTAAAAATCCTTCATATTTCTGGAAAGAAATGGTATAGCAGGAGCAGCTGAAGCCCACTTTCCGGAGTGGGGAAAATATTTGCCCAGGGAGACTTTCCTCCACACAGCTGCGTCCAAGGTCCTCCTTCCCTACCTGCTAGGACCAGTGTTGACCAGCATGAAACGCCTTTGGCTTTTGCTGAAGACTGTATCTGGGAGATACTGACCACCTTCTGGTTCAAGGATTTCCGGGCAAACACGGTCTCTTCTGTGAGTCTTTCTGAGCTCCTTTCTTTTGCCTTTGTACTCTGTGTTCCTGTAAGTCGTAAAGACTTGCCACCTTTCATGATTTTTGCCTTATAAAAGAACAATATTGACTTTGCCTAGAAGACCTGAGAATTCTGAGTCCTGTGCTGGGAAATTGAATTAGTTAACAGAAAAATCTCAGGAACTGGTTCAGTCTTACTCTTTTAACAGTTCCACTCTCCTGCTTCACATCTGTTAAGAAAGCCATACAATGTCTTTGGCGAGACCAGATACATTTTCCTTTCCAGGCCTGCTCTTTAGGTAAGAGAATTGTTTTAGAAGAGGCAAAAACATGCTAAGACCAAAGAGTTTTGCAAGTGTTTCTATGCGCTCCTGCAGTTAGTATAATTCTGAATCCCCTTAATACAGGGATATGAATGCGTCACGTATTTCTGAGTTATGCCAAATGCTACCAAGTACAATGCACAGTTGAGGGATTTTAAAAAGCAGGTGTGTACTGTGGGCCATTAGATAGTAAGACACAGTATGTGGCGGGTATGTGCATGTTCAGAGGAAAAATACAGTTCCAACTCAAGTTGGAGAAAACGCATCCTCCAGTGCCTTTGGAGTTTTTGTGTCCTGCACGCAACATATAATCCGCCATGTTAGCATTCCGTTGGTACAGCCCACAGCATGCAGCTCGTTTACAGTGCTGTGCAAACACCATCAGCATTTGGTTCCATGTTTTATCACCAAGAAGTTGGCTGGTGTACACTGTAGTTGGGTGCATTCAAGCCACAGGCCTTGCATCTAACAGCTCCGTGTGCTAATTGATTGCAGCATAAAGGTGAAACATCAAGTTTTAAAGCCATGCCATCTCTTCTTGTCATAAATTTAATTTAGTGAGAGGGTGGTATTAAGTAGGCTGCCTCTCCCTGCCTTGGTATCTGCATTCCAAGTGCTTGAACCACGTCTGTACGTGTTGCTGCTATTCCGGTCACACAAACACAGGTTTTACTTCTCCCATCGAGTGTTCGTAAGAAGTGGAGATGGCCCTCATCATAGAAACAGGAGGAGACCCTACAGCTCTTGCCTTGAAGGCTCAACAGTTACCTGCTTAGCAGGACTGGGTGGCGATGTATTAGTCTCACCTTCGCCAACGCCGCCTGTCCCTCTCTGGATCTGGAGGTTGACTGCTGAGCTGACACATGAAGGAATGGTCTCCCACTAGCTGGATGGTCCCTTTGCCTCCTGAACATCAAGCTATCCTTCGTACCAGTCAGGTGAACACAAGCTTAATAAAGCTGTGGACAATAGCTGTTCTTTTCTCAGCTCCTCAGTTTAACTTGCTGGACCGATTCGGGCTGGGAAGCCACACCGGTGTGCTCACAGTCTCTTCCTTTGGTGGCAGGTGGCCGTGTTACTCTAGCTGCCGCTGATAGACCCAAGTGCGTTGTGCTCACTTGCGCACTTCCTCCTCGCCACCATCTGAGGAGCGTAGTAGTTATTAGTGCCCGCAGTGTCCACAGCAGAGCTGTGACTCCAGCTGCATTTTCTGCCCCACGTTTATTGCTTTTTTCTTGTCTAAACACTGTCCCTCAAGAAGTGGAATTGGAATTTACAGCTTTCTTTCAGAGGACACAAATCTTTATTTCTTTCTTTGTGCCAAGGTTTAAAACAAACAGCCCCTTTCAGATATTTGGGAGCCAAACTGCTCTTGTCAGAATCTCTAATTATGGAGATATCTCAGTTCTGTTGGAGGGAAGGCTGGTCTTGAGGCAGATGCCGGGATCTGCTTTGGGCCAGTCAGGTTGGGCCAACTTGGGCCACTGTCAATTAATCTTAATATTGGGTTGGCCACTGGCTATAATCAATTAATAGTCATCCCAGAACTTTTAACCAGTACCAGAAACTTGGTTCTGGAAACCTTATTTATTTATACAGTGGGAGAATTATCTTTATGAACTCACAGCGGTTACTTCTGTAGATGCAGGAATATAGCAGCCCAGTTAGGCTGTGTTTGTGGGAGAGAGAGCAAGGCCAGGCGGGGGAGGAGAGGGAAGGGAGGCTTCAGCTCATCCAGTGCTCAATCAGTGCTCACTAGGAATGTGCTGTAGGGCTGGGGAGCTAGCTCAGAAGCCTACGTGCCCGCCTGGCAAGCTCAAGGACCTGGGTTCGATCCGCGGTACCACATGCCCTCCAGCCCTGGGTGCACTGTGCAGGCCACTGAGACCAGACGTGGTGGCTCATGCCTGTAACCCCAGCGCTGGGGAGGCTGACACAGAAGGATCACTATGAGTCAGAGCTGCATAGCGAGACCCTGTGCCAAATACATAAATAAATAAATAAATTTTAAAAAGTTATTGAGCTTTTTAATATTAAAATCTGTAACGTATATAATATTTACAGGATATTTTCATTAGGACTAATCACATTTCAAGTATTACACATGGCTAGTGGCTAACGTATTAAGCAATATGTGTATAATATATAGTTAGGGCTGAGGATATAGCTCAGCAGCATAAGCGCCTCCCTGGCAAGTGCAAGATCCTGGGTTTGATCCCCAGTCATATTTAGAATTCAAAAGGCAATAAGCCTTTTTTATCGTTCCCTTGGAGGGGAGGAGGGGTAAAGATGCCTTGATGTTCTTGGTATTAAATGAGCTTTGTAGATCTTGAGAGTTTCTCCTCATTTCTAAGGCTTTGCTGCCTTCTTGTGGACACAGAGATGCTTGTTATTTGGGCCAAGCTGCCCAATGGGAAACGCTGGCAAATTGTTCCAGGACTTGGGGACAATTCTTGATGCTTGCATTTCTCAAAGTGTAAATTTGATTTTTTTTTTTTTTTTTTTTTTTTGAGATAGGGTCTCGCTGTGCAGTTCGGCCTGGCCTTGAGTTCACTTTGTAGCCCGGGCTGGTCTCGTACTTGCGATGATCCTCCTGCCTGCCGAGTGCTGGAAGACAGGTGTGCACCACCACACCCAGCTAGCAAATTTGAATATTAAAGATCGGCCTTTTAATAGCTCACACAAGAATAAACTTCTTTTAAAGTGCACTCCCATTTATTCTCAGGTTAGCTGGTCTGGCTCCTCTCTGATCCAAATTCAAGTAGCTGGTATTCTGTTGGAACATGATTGTTGCTCATAACTAGCTGCATTCAGTAACGATGTATTTCTTTTTTTTTTTTTTTAGCAACTTCAAAGTTTGGGTGGCTTGCCACAATAAACACTGATTTTTATGTCTACGGGTTTGAAGGTCAGCTGGGGCAGGTGGTAGGTGGTAGGCTTGCGTCAGGCCTGCTCCGCCTGTCTTGTTCTCCGTGTCCTCTGGCTTCACGGGGCTTGTTCTCACGATGAATTCAAGCCTAATGAGAGTAAGAGGAACCTAGGATAGCTCTTAAGGTCTTGGACAGGACAGGCTCCTTGTCACTTCCAGTGACTTTCTTTGGACCAAAACAAGTCACTTGACCAATATCAGCAAGTTAGAGAAGTGCTAAGAGAAATGACCAAGTCATACAGCAAATGGCATGGACAGCGCCAGCAGGAAGTGAGTGAAGCGTTGGCCCCGACGATTCACTGGCACAGCGTCTCACAAACTGAAATGCAAAGCGTGTCACCTATAAACTGCAGCTTGCTTGCCTTGTTGTTGCCCAGATCTCACGTGTTCAAGCCTGCTTCCCAGTCGGTGGCGCTGCTGGGAGAAGCAGGTGGCCGGGTTGGACCCTCGCAGCGTAAACACTGCTCCCACGTCCTCTGCTGTGATGCGGGGCCACAGCACAGGTGCAGAAACATGGTGCCATGTGACCGTGGACGGAGGCCTTCCAATGCTTGTGCCAAATAAACCTTTCTTTCATTTACATTGCCTCTCAGATATTTTGTTACAGTAACAGAGGGCTGATCGAACACACTTGTGAAGAAATAGTTCTGGAAAAAAGTAACACCTTTTTGTTTTTTAAAGTCTTAGCCAAGATTCTCTGGCAGCTCCCATTAGCTTTACAATCTATATTGGAGGGTTACCCAAGTGACTGTGTGTCTATTTTTCTTAGGCCACGTATAGGACAATGTCTTAGCTAATTGCCCACTTTCTATTTTCATACGACTCTAATATAATTGAACACAATCTGTTTTATCACAGAGTGGATTTTTCAATAACGGGGAAAGAGGTACTTACGTGACATTATCTTTAGATAAGCAGCCTTCAAGAATATTCATTAGATGCGAGCATTTTTTTCCAGTTAGATCAGTTACTTCCTGAATTTGCTTGGTACAGCAGTGGCGTTAGCATCATCGGGCCTGGAGCTCAGTTTTTGTTTGTGCACCTACTTTGCACGTCTGCTGAATCGTGAGACTCACCAGAGCACACGAATCACACCGAGGCGAGTGAGATGGTCATCACAATGAGATTCTCAGGAGGGAGGGAGGAAGTCACAGAAGCAGACAGGGACTGGGATGTGTCTGGGGCGAGCTACGCTGAGCCTTGCTCCTAACACTGACTCTCCTCCATATTCTACTGAGGGATGCTACCTCCTCCTCAGCCAACCACGGCCGGGATCGGCGCCATCCGTAGGCTCTGTCCATTTGCTCTGTGTAATACTTCTGTTCTGAGTCCCCCTTCCAGTCTGAATGGTGTCACCTCAGGACAGATCTGTGCTGTGTCTCACCTGTGTTGATACCAGGAATGCTGGCTTACTTCTAATCGGTGCTTCTGGGCTAATCTTTATGAAAAGATAAAGGCAAAATGTTCCCCAACTAAAACCACTGGTGGCTTTCTATTATCTTTAAAATAAAACCAGGGCAGGTTTGCCCATCACTCACTCAGCTAAAGATGAAAGCAAGTCCCTTGCAGGGATTTGATTCATACAGCTCTCTACTACAATTTGGTACTGTAACCATTTGGTTAGTGGCATAAGCACCTGCCTGGCAAGGGCAGGGTCCTGAGTTCAATCCCTGGTACAAAAAAATAAATAAAACCCAACTCCCAGCAGATAGGAAAGGCTCTAACAATCCATAGCTCTTAGCTCTTCTCGGGCTCATGTTCCATTTTACCCTCCTGATGTTCCTTCCCTACGCTCACCCTACACTCATGAATTCACCTTCTGACACTACTCAGATTCTCTCAACTTGGAATACCTTTCCCTACGCTACCTT